TAACTCACTGAATGTTGCTGGTACCCTCGTAAATGGCACCAATCTTGCTGTCCCGGAAGAACTTCTCGGCCAGGCCCTCGCGGACGAAGCCCATGCCGCCCATCCACTCGACGGCCAGGCCGCTCACGCGCCCGGCCACCTGGGACGCGTACAGCTTGGCCATGGCGGCGTCGCGCACAAAGTCCTCGCCGGCCTCCTTGCGGCGCGCCGCGTTGTACACGAGCGCGCGCGCGGCCGCGATGTCGACGTAGGCCTGCGCCATCTGGTGCTGCATGCCCTGGAACTCACCGATGAGCTGCCCGAACTGGCGCCGGTCGTTGTAGCAGTACCGCGCCGCGTTCTCCCACGCGCCCAGCGCGAGGCCCGTCATCTGCGCCGCGATGCCTATTCTGCCCTCGTTGAGGATCCCGATGGCGTACTTGTACCCCTGGCCCTTGTCGCCCAGCAGGTTCTCGCGCGGGATCTCGACGTCGTCAAAGTTGAGCACGCAGGTGCTGCTGGCCTTGATGCCCAGCTTCTTCTCCTTCTTGGCGATGGAGAAGCCCTTGGTGCCCTTCTCGACGATGAAGGCCGAGATGCCGCGGTAGCCCTGCGACGGGTCTAGGTTGGCAAACACGATGAAGAAGTCGGCCTCGACCGAGTTGGTGATCCACATCTTGGACCCATTGATCGTGAACCCGTCGGCCGTCTCAGTCGCCCGCGTGGCCAGCGCGAACGCGTCCGAGCCGCTCACGGGCTCGCTCAAGCAAAACGACCCGACCGTCTGGGTGGCCAGGCGCGGCAAGAACCGCTTCTTGATGTCGGCCGAGCCCCAGCGCAGCACGGTCGTGTTGACGAGCGTGTTATGCACATCCACCAGCACGCTGACCGACGGGTCGACGCGCGCGAGCTCCTCGATGCCCACGATGGCCGACGTGAAGTTCATGCCGGCCCCACCGTACTCCTCGGGGATCTCGATCCCCATCAGCCCCTGCTCGAACAGCTGCTCCACGATGGCCGGGTCCATGGCCTCGGCCTCGTCCATGTCGCGGACCTTGGGCAGGATCACGTTGTTGGCGAACTTTTGCACCGCATCGCGCATCGCCGTCTCCTCCTCGGACAGGTGCGTTATAGGGGTGGGCGTGAGCCCGGCGAGGTCGGAGCGGCGGGGCGGGGTGGTGGAGAAGGCGCGGGATGTGCTAGGTGTTGGAAACGTGTCAGTCGAGCGGCATTGGAAGTGCTCGGGGTCGATGGTGCCTACTATTGGATGCTAGGAGCAAGTGTCCTTGAAGGCATGCATCGTCGTGCAGGGACTGCTATTCTCGCGGACGCAACTCCATGGCCTCTCCGGAGGGCCGGACGTGCCAGCCGGGCAATGGACGACATTTTTGTCTCGGTCAGGGGGAAGGGGGTGTTGGGAGTCGGCTAATGACCAGCTCTTGTCTCGCCTGAAGCTCAAGGTGAGAAGGTAACAGGAAATAGTGAAAGCAAGCGTGGCTAACAAGAGTTATTAACACAGAAAAGCAAAAACAAAAGCTCGAGCGGTCAGAGCAAATTAAGGGATAGTCCAACAAGGCGCCGTCGAGGCGATGGTGTCCGGTCCGTCCAGGCGGGCGCCAGAAGCCGAGGCTAGCCAGCCCGCTGGAGGGGCTCCTCTCCGTCAGCAATGCTCGGCCTTGGCGTACGACATTCCCAGCCGAGCGTCCAGGCCAGGGGCCACCCTGCGAGCAATTGAGCCAATCAGACGAGGCCCCGCCCTGGGGGACTGGGCATGTGATTTCGCGCAGGCGTTTTTTTCAGCCCCGGGCGGCGGAGAAAGCAATCGTCCGGGGAAGGGGACAGAAGACCCCACAACGGCTCAGCTCATTGTCCCACCAATCAAGCCGCGCTCTTGGGGCGGCGGATGGATTGGTAGCAACAGCAATTGAAGCCGTCCCAAACGCCAGCGAAAACGACACTGCCTTCCATCTGCGCCGGCAGCAGAAGCCCCGCCGTCGCCCGCCCATGCTGTTGCGACACCTCCTCGCCCCGGCCCTGCGCCGCCCGGCGCTTCCCAAGCCCGCCCTCCGCGCGGCAATCCCGCTCAAGCCCGCCCAGCCCGCCGCCCTCATCGCTGCAAGACGAACATTTGCCACGACCGCACCACGCCCCGCGACGCTGATGCAGGTCCTGAGGGTAAATCCCCCCCTCGCGCGCTCTACCGATGCGGCCCCTGCCAAGTCGCCTTTGCTGACCCCCTCCCTCTCCCGCAAACAAACAGGGCTGCCGCAAGAAGCAAAAGGCGCGCGGCGCCACCTCGCCCGCCCTGACCAACATGCGCGCCCCAGCCATGAAGGGCGTCTGCCTCAAGGTCGGCGTCGTCCGCCCCAAGAAGCCCAACTCGGGCGAGCGCAAGACGGCCCGTATCCGCCTGTCCAACGGCCAGCACGTGACGGCCTACATCCCCGGCGAGGGTCACAACATCCAGCAGCACTCAGTCGTCCTCATCCGCGGCGGCAGGAAGCAGGACTGCCCCGGTGTCAGGTACCACTGCGTCCGCGGGGCCATGGACTTGGTGAGTTTTGGGGGGACGAAGCAGGAGAAGAAAATGGGTGCTATATCTGTCTTGTTGCTAACGGTCTTGTTTTTTGCCATCAAGGGTGGCGTCACCAACCGCGTTACCAGCAGGAGTAAATACGGGACCAAGAAGCCCAAGAAGGCATCCGTGGGCTAGGGGTTTTCAGCTCTTCACTGTAACACACACCATTGTAGAATGAGAATTAAAGCGATCACGAAGACGCCACTTGGGCCCTTGCTCCCACCAGTCAAGACCGCAACCTGTTCGAATCCCTTGTTAATCCTATCGCTGGGGAGGTATCCACTGGTGTGTGTGTGTGTGGTGTAATCCACGAGGCGTTGCCTGGAGAAAAAAACAATATTTGCATAATGGTTTAGTCCAGCGCACACCAAGTCCCCTTTGCTACTTTTGTCCTTCGTTGGTCTGTACCCTCCTGACGCCTCCCTCTCGCTTGTCCCAGTTTCCGCTAAAGTCCTGCCCTGTTGCTTTCAAGTGCGTGCAAGGGAAAGGTACCAGATCTGCTGGCTTCTCCCTAACCAGTTGTGAAAAACAGCAAAATTTAAAACCCGGATATCTCAGTCGTTGGAATGAAAAGGGCTCTTATGAGGAATGAGGATGGAAAATGGGCATAAGGAAATTACAACTAGAATCTATCGTCTCAATTTCAATGGCGTGCCGTTGCCACACACACGCACCCCGGACCTTTCTCACGTTAGTCTGTCTGGTTCTCCCAGCCCTCGGGCTTCTTCTGGCCCGTGACATCGAAATACCGCGACGTGCCTAGTCACATGATTGTTAGTGTCATGAAAGAACACAGGATACAGAAGGCACAGAGCGGCCTGCCGACGCAGCAAGACTTACAGGAGTAGCCCTTCCAGTCAAAGTTCTCCTTGGGGTTACAAGAGCACTTAAGCTGAGTGCGAACCTTCTCGCCCGTCGGGCAGTGTGTGAAGGGCACGTGCCAGTAGGCGATGTCGTTGAAGAAGTGGATCTCCTCCTTCTTGAGCATCAGGCCGGCAGCGATCGAGTGGACGGGGGCGTCACCCCAGCGCTCGTAAAAGAAGCCGCCGTCCTTGTCAAGGGCATCAAAGTAGTCGATGTACTGCTTGGAGCGAAGCCAGTTCAGGCTGCCAATCTCAAAGTTGGACCACTATGTGAGTCTAGGTTAGCATATATACATGTGACACAACGGGGCTGATCTTTCAAGGCACAAGGACTTACGAAATGGCACTTGTTGTACGTCTCGCCGCCGTCGTCGCTGAGGAATCCCATGGTGTTGCCCTCGACAATGTGCTCCGGGTGGGCCTTCATGAACTTCTTGGTGCTGTCCCAAAGCGTGGGAATAGTCTCGATGTACTCGTACAGACTCAGAACAAAGCTGTACTTCTTCTTGTTCTCGTGCATGAAGCGGAAAGGGTCGTAGTGGATATCGCAGTACAGCTTGATACTCGGCTCCACACGCCAGTAGTAGTCGTAGTTGAGCATCAACTCCTGGCGGAAGAAGAAGCCCGACTCGAAGCGGCACATGTGACGGTAGCTGACCGAGTCGCCATAAATGATCTTACGCTGCTTCATGTCTTCTCGGACTTTTGCCGCCTTGTCCTTATCAATCCACTCGGGGAAGGACCAGTGCTCCTTGGGGATGAGACCGTAGTGTGTCTTTCCTGAGCAGAGCGAGCTCGTCACCGCTTTGAACGTGTCGTCGAAGGGCTGGTCGTTGAGGAAGACCCAGTCGTAGTTGTAGCGCTTGTTGAAGCGGTCCTCGACCTGGCGGATCGAGTCGGCAATCTCCCACACGTCCGAGTTGCGGGCGAGCGTCACAAAGGTCGCGTTCATGCGGGGTCCGGGTGCGATACTGACGAGGTCCTCCCACTCGGGCAGGCCGGGCGTCATGGCCATGGGGTGCTCGGCGCCGCTGCCCTTGACCGGGCTCTGGGGCTTCGATGACGGCTTCGAGGTGGATGACTCGGCCTTGGCGCCGGCCGGCGCCGGCGCCTTGGTCAGGGTCTCTTGCTTGGCGGGCGCGGCCTTGGGGTCGTTCGCTGGCGTGTTCGGCTGTGCTGCCTTGTCGTTGTTCAGGCCGCTCTGGCCGCCGCTGGCGTAGCCATCAGGCCGCAGGACAGCGCCATCGTAGGAAGAGTGTGAGACGAAGTAAAAGATGGCGATGACCTGTTGGAACAAATTGGGTTAGTCGAGCACGCGAAATCGATGCCCCAGTCCTTTGGGCTGGGCTTCGACGCAATGGCCTCGGGCAAAGGGATGCGGTGGGGGACAGAACGGCGTCAACGTACAAAACAAGAAAAAAGAATGTATCGCACGTAGCGAGCGCTACCAGCCGCCATCTTGAATACTCGCAGGCGTTTGTAGCGATGGGGTGCAAATGTTGGCAGATGGAGATGGATGAGGTGCGGCGATGGGTCGAGGGCGGACAGATCGCCTGTGGTTTATTCCCTGCACGCACGGCTGGAAAAGAGGTCAAGAGTGCTTGGCAGGTCAAGTCGATCAAGAAAAAAGGGGGTGTGGGGTGCCGGCTGACGACGGCGCAGGGGGCGGGCAAGGGATGAGCAGTTCAGGTTGAGCAACACGCGGTGCTACCCACACCACAGGCGCGGGCGGGGAGAGAGGGGAGGGCTAATGATCAGTAGCTGGAGATCAAAATTGGTTGGTGATGAGGTGGCAAGAAGTTGGGTTTCGCGCGGAGGAAAATGGAGAAGAAGTTGAGAAACCGCCAAGAAAAACGCATCAAGCAAGCACGCTCAAGCAAAACGGAACAGCGATGGCAGGCATGGGGCAGGACATCAAAATCAACCCATCGAGCGCCAGAGGGAAGGAACACCCCAGCCAGGTGTCAGTCAGCACTGAGTGCTCTCATGCGTATTTGTTAGCGTCACCCTTGCCTCCGCCTAGCGTGACCGAACACTCAGTCCCTGGCATCCCGGCAGATGGCGTTGGATCCATTATCAAATCGATCCCGAGGACGTCAAGTCCTTGCCCGAATTCAGGCCCCTGGAAGCACCGGGGATGCATCGCTCCTCTGAGAAATTCGGGGTCGGATGGGGTCTCCAACATGGTCCCCGCAGCACATGCCTAGGCGGCCACTCCAAGATCGCCTCATATAAACATACGACACTATCTGCGAGTGTGGTGACCGGAACACTCAGCTGTCGCTATCGCCATCCGGGATCCTAGACATGGTTAATGACGAGCTCACTTGGCGCATCAACTTTCTTTTTCTTTGCTCCCTGCGTCCCTCGATTGCGTCTAGACCTCGATGGCCGCACTTGAGAAACGTCCTAAACTGGTGCTAGTATGCGTTAGCTATCCTGGCTGAAGGATCTAACCCCTTTTCTCCGTGCCGGCTTCCAGGCGTTATCTTGTTCGTATTGCATGCTGGCTGTTCAGCGTTCAGGCAACGTCGATGGCGGTGGTCTGTTCGCCCCATCAGCCAGCCCACTTGCCGCCCGCCACTTCCATGTTCCCCGCGGGTCTCTTCGACGTGCGCCGAGAGCAGGGCAATTAATTCCTCGGTGTGCATGTGAGGACGACTTAGACCTGCATGTCGAGACTACATTGTGTGGCTTCCTCCGCACTTTGTGTTTGGCGCCAGGTGCCGCGAGCCTGTCGGCCTCTGGTCCTGTCTCGCCCGCTTTAATTCACCTGCAGATGCCCTGCATGGTGCTCCGTAAACTGCGAAATAGAGCGGTCTGCATGGCTTGGGGTCCATGTAATATCAAGGATAGACACTCAACAGCCACCAACAAGGCTCTTGCAAAGCAGTCGCCGATGGAATTTCCATTTTTCGGCTTTCCTCCGTGATGCCCCTTCATTCTTTGTTATTCATGCCATGCTGTTGGGTCCAAGAAGAGTTGGTGGTGGCCACTGAGTCTGCCCCAGATGACCCATCTGCCCGCCCGGTGGCGCACCGTGAGCTTTATCGATAATGAACAGCTCTTTTAGAGATTCCTCAAGCGGGGCGGCTCATGTGACCAAACGCATGATCTCACTTCGATGGCGCCAGCACGGCCCTTTGCGTTCGGCCGCACCAGCACAACATCCATTTCCCCACCATCATTTTCCCGCCGCATTTTGACGTTGGGCCTCTCAATCCTTCGCCAACGCCCGACTTTGGCCACTCCTCACACCCACGCATCCTCGCCGCCGGTGCTGTCACGACCGGGCCTGCGTCTGTCCTTGGGGCTTGCCCTGGCCTTTCCTTTCTTCCGCTCCGCGCTGACTTCCTGCTTCTCATCGGCTATTCGTCTTTTTGTTCCTGCTGCTGTCCCCGTCGACTGCGCATCGTTTCCCGCCGGCCACCAAACCACCGCCTCATCTTTCTGCTGCATCATCATCATGGTGGATTCCAGAGCTGTTTGGTGGATAATCTTGGTTTCAGCATAAATGTGAGCATCTTCTCCTCGTGCTCGTCGCCTCTTTGAATCTGACGGACGGGGGCTATCCGACTGGGCTCGTTCGCGCCCACCGACCAGCCCATTACATCCACCTTGCTTCCTCTCTGTCCTCAATCCCAAACCCCGAACAGCAGCTACACCTCCCAAACTCTTTCCTTCTGAGCCCGTGATAGCGTGTTTACTGCCGCACAATCATCCATCCTTGCCCATATATCAACGCTTGGCACTTTGTGGCGGCTTTGATCGATGAGTCTTTTATCCCCCGTTGTGCACCTGCCTTTCGCTCCCAACTCTGTACCTAGAGATAGATACATCACCACCACGATTCTCGCTGACCCCTCCTTCACCCATCATAGTTTCTCTCGCTCTCCCTCTTGACTTCCCTTGCCATCCGCCAAGATGTCTTTCTTCGGCTTCGATACGTCCGGCCATAACAAGGCCGCACCTGGCTTCTCTCAGGCCCATGATCCGTTTGCCGGTCTCCGACATGGCGACGACGGGGGAGATGCGCTTGAGTTCGAAGACACCTACGATGGCCTAGGCGATCAGCTAGACGAAACGGACGACGCCTTCAATGACGATACTTTTGGTGGCGGGGGTGAAGCGAACGTCGGCAAGGTTGGCAAAGACTTCGACTTCTTCGGGCAGACAGCCAAGGTGGCCAACGCCATCGACGAGGAGTCCGTCCGCTACAGCCGTCAGCACCCTGCTCCTCGCGTAGCTGCGCCTATAGTGGACTACCAGTATCCCAACCATGCGTCGCAGCATGCTCCCCAGCCCGTTCGTTCGGGCTATGAGAAGTACAGGGACCCCGAGCCGGTTCCCGAGCTCCAGGCTGATACCGCGCTCTGGGGTATGGCGCCTAAGCGACAGCCCTTTGTGACAACCCCCACTCCAGGGGCCGCTGCGCAGTTCCCGCCCGCTGCCAGCAGGAAGATGATGAGCCTGGAGGAGGTTGAAGCTGCCATGCGGGCACAGTCGAAGAAACCCGAGCCCTCACCCATCCAGGCCCACCAGCACCTTGCGCAACCTCAGGCTCCTCAGTACTCTGTGTCTGCCCCTACTCAGCAGCCTATGGAATTCCTGTATGCCCAGCATCAGCAGCAGCAACAGCAACAGCAACAGCAGCTCCATCGCATGCCTTCCCCCGCCGATCATGGTCACCCCGTGGACCTGAACATGTCGCACGGACCCGCGCACACTGGTCCGATATCTATCCTTCAGCGACCACAGTCCAAGACGCCTGTTGGATCTCAGCCCCCCCACGTGCCCCAGCAGGCTCCTGTTGTCCACCATCAGCAAAATGCCCAGGCGCCCGTGTCGAAGCCCATGCAAATTCTGCAGAACCCGAACCGCCACGTTGGATCCAACGCGGCTCATGCTGCACACCAGCGCCAGCAAGGTCCTTACCCACCGAACATTCTAGCGCACCCCTCGCAGCTGGCCCAGCTGAACGATGAGGAGAAGAATGCCTATCTGGAGCAGGAGGCACGCCGCGCCAAGCGCAATCACAAGATCTTCATGCTTTCCAAGGATAACGGTCTCATGACACCTCAGGACAAGAACTTTATCACTAGGATCCAGCTCCAGCAGCTGGTTGCTGCCACTGGCAACCCCATCGACCAGGGGACTGATGATAACCTCTCCGAGGACTTCTACTACCAGGTCCACTGCCAGATCCGTGGCGGTCACCGCCAGCACCCCGGCCAGCCGCTCAACAACTTTGCACAGACTTATCTGTACCAGACTGGGAGTCGGCAGAATGGAGCTCGCCGCCAGCACCGTGGGCCTGAGAACCACGTCCAGCGGATGGAGCAGCAGGTCCAGCGCGCTGTGGAGGCGGCCAAGAACAAGCCCAAGAACAAGCAGCTCGTAATCGAGGGCTCCCTGGGCAAGATCTCGTTCAGCAATGCCAAGACACCAAAGCCCCTGCTTAACATCAAGCGCAACGACAACGCGGATGTCCAGCGCCCTGGTAGCTCTCACCGGACCACAACGTCTGCCGCCGTCAACCGCAAAATGCTCCTTGCCGATGTCGAGAAGGTGTATAGCAGCCTCATGAAGATGGAGGACCATAATCGCAAGATGCCGCCCCCGCCCAGCGAGCTTGGCAACAACGTCGAACTCGCTCACCAGCACGCACACTGGTCGCATGTGGCGGAGCAACTGAACAACCAGCTCTGGAACGAGCTCAAGGTTCACGAGCCCATCGGTGCTACCGTCATTCACCCTTTCATCGCCTTCCTCTCATGCCCCAAGGGTAAGAAGGCCATTCCTCGTGTTTTCCGCCATATCAACCACGAGCAGCGCCTGTCCATTCTCACTATGATTGTCCTGCACCTCGACAAGCTCGACGTGGTTCGCGGTGCTGCCAGCGACGATGGCGAGACAATGCTCAACGCTGCTCTGCGCGAGAGCATAGAGCTGTTCTCGGTCGCTGTCATGGACACGCTCTTCAAGCTCATGTCAGAGCTCAACCTCGATATCGTCACCGGGGTTCTTGGAATTCTGTCTACTACCAATGTCGATCTCGTCGCTCGGTCCCGCATCGGAGCGTCTGTCTTGACCATGATCCTGTCCAGGGCCGAGATTCTGAAGCAGGCTGGAGCTCCCCAGCCACTCTTGGATAGCTGGTATGTCCTCTCCCTATCCGACATGCCTTGTCACTTAGTCCCTTTGACGCAATGCTAATAACTTGAAAGGACTTCTACATACAACAAATTCTTCAACATTCTGGAGGCAACTCTACCACGAATCTTCCCTGGCTCGGTCAACTCGGGGCAAGATATCTACGTCTGGCAGCTACTTGCCGCGCTTGGGATCGGCGCGAACCAGGACCAGCAGCAACGGCTTGTTCTCGGCGTCAAGGATCGCGTTATGGACACCGTGGCTCTCTCCAAGACGCTTCCGGCGGACATGGCGTCGTTGCGCCTCCAGAACGTGAACTTGTTCATGCGCTCTATCGGCTTGGATGTTGAGCTGCTGGTGTGAAACGATCTCACATGGTTTTCGCATCGCACCACAATTTTTGGAAGACTCCCTTCATATATCTTCCATGTCTCGGTTACCCTGGCTACATGCTAGGGAAAGATTCAGCAGCCCGAAGCGGGAAGCCTCGTGGAGAGGCATTGTGGAATGAGCATCAAGATGGCTCAAAATTGGGCGGCCAAACAATTTAAAGGGGGGTCTGAGTGACATGTGGCGACACAATCTGACATGAGGACGAGGAACATGATAGTTATTTGTCCATTACAAGGAGCAAATACGCGGTCTATGGGGGATTTAGGGCTCGCAGTGAACCTGTGGAGGGGATCGCCGAGGGAAGCTGAGCGTGAGAACTTGAGGAAGTGCCATTACTCGCTGTTCCGTCGGTCAAGTGGTATGGCCATTTATAAGGCGCAGAGGGCGGCCTCCACGGCGGGAGATGGAAGTGGGAATCGTGGCGGTAGCTTGATGGATCAAGCAGAATATTGAGGGCTTCTGTGAAAATCAGGGGTATGGGGAGTGGAAAATATGGTTACGAAGCTGGTTGGAGTATTTTAAACACCGATTCAACAACGTGCCATCGTCGCCAAGTAGTGATATGGGGCAGAATTTTCTTCTATTCGCTGCCGGGTACGAGGTCTCTGGTATCCTTGGGCCTGGAACGGCCGGGATGCCTGGCGACCCCGCGAGGTGGCTGGCAGTTGAAATATGATGCGTCGTATATACTCGTCATTTATCAGGGAGGAGGTTTCGTGGAATTGTACGTCCATTGATACACTTTTGTATTTGCAACACCGTGTATGCTGTGGTAAAAAGGATATGAAAAACCAGCCGTCCCCCCGAAACAGAAAAGCCGATGCACCCAACTCCTGGCCCTTTACCTGCCCTGCCAATAATGCATAGAGATAACCGACCCAAGACCATGCAAACACCAAACAGGCCCGGCGGACAGAGTAAGCCCTAATCTCGTCCCCGGTCGATGATGCACTAGTCTACATCCATGGCCGTCGCGCTGGTCGCCCCTGCTCTCGACTTGCTAGCCTTGCGCGCCGACGCCGCTTGTGGTGGTGCCGCGGAGGCAGACCTCGACGGCTGCGCACCACCCCCCTGCTCGTCCTCGGCCTTGGCGGCGCCCGGCGGGGGCAGCTCGAGGCCGCTGACGACGTGCAGCAGCTTCGTCTCGTCCCAGCCGGTGCCGAGCCTGGCTACGCGGTCGACGAGGCGGCCCTCCTCTCCGCCGTCATGGTCGTCGGCGGCGGCGGCCGCCGCCTTGGCCTGTTCCTTGCCTTTGCCCTTGTCCTCTTCGGCCGCAGCCGCCGCGGCAGAAGAGTGGTGGTGGTGGCCGCCGCCTTCGAGCCCGCGGTGCACGAGGCTCTCCTCGTACACGGCCCAGGCGTCGTCGGCGCTCTCGTCGACGTAGGCCAGGCGCCGCCACTGCTCCGTCTGCACGGCCTTGAGGCGGTCCGCCATGGTCACCTCGGCCCCCGCCGCGCCGCTGTCGTCGCTCTCGACGGCGCCCGCCGACTTGACCGTCATGTGCACGGCGCGCGGCGCGGGGCCTGATGAGCCGCCGGGGCCGCCACCACCGCCGGAGCCCTGGCCGCCGCCGCCGCCGCCACCGGGGCCGTTGGCGCCCGGCTCTGAGCCACGGCGGGTGGCGCGCTCGAGCTCGGCCTTGGCGTCGATGTGGTGGAGTTGGGGGCGGAGGAGGGCGAGGTTGGTGATCGGGGTGAGGTGGATGTTGTCTTTGTTGGTGCGTGTCAGTCTACTGGGGTCGGTCGGGTGTGGGGGTGGGTGCTTTGTGGTGCAAAGATGCAAACATACCGCCGCTGAAGACGCCGATCATGTATCTGGTTTGGCTGTCCCCCGTGGCGATCTGGCCGCCCAGCGTGTGCGTGCGCAGGACCTTGTCGCGCCGGATGGCCTCGTTGAAGTCGGCGGCGGCGACCCCACCACCAACAACCTCGATGTCATCGTCTCCGCCGCCGCCGCCGCCACCTCTCCTCCCGCCGCCGCCGATGCCGCCGGCCTTGGCCTCGGCGGCCGTGATGCGCAGCGCGGGGCGCCGACGCCG